CTTTTTATGATACAAACAGTTTAACTATGTTTTGAGTTCTTGAAAAGCCTGATTGTTGTTTCTTGATCATTTATTATACTCTAGAAGCTTGAAAATATAAATAGTTGTCGAATAAAGCTCAGTATTCTGGACACAAAAATGTAAACAAAGGCTTTGTTTACATACGGACTGTGGTTCCAAATATTTGAAAAACATAGAAAAATATTAATAAAAGTTAAATGTCATTAAAAATTGAAAATTCGCGTCGCGTTGCCAAATCGCGTCCGGTGTGTGTGGGCCTTTAGTGTTAGCTTTCTAAAGACTTTTAGGTCAATTTCCATGTTGGAAACTCAAATTAATCCTAACCTAATCTTAAGCCTTATCCTAATCTTTAATGCGAATCTTATTAGCCTTACTCTAATCCTGACCTGAATCCTAAGCTTCATCCTAACCCAAATCCCAGTCCTTAATCCTAACCCTTAACCCTAACATTAATCCAAACCCTAATCCCTCCCCTAACTCTGATTGTAATTCAAACTCCAATACTAATCCTAACACTTATTGTACCCTTAATCCAATCCTTAGGTACGTAATCCTAACCCTATTCCTAAGCGCTTTCAAAATCCCACAGAGGTCTTTTCAGGATAGCATCAGAAAGTCACCAACACTGCAGTAAATCAAAGTGCAGGGATGTCGGAACGACATGAGGGAAGGGGGGGGGGGCAGATTTACATGGTGGGGCACTTTTCATAGGGTTGACTTCAGAAGTTTGGAGTTATCCCCCTCCCCCTCAACAATATTTTTCGAAATTGGGTAGTAAAAGTTTTACAAAACCATAAAAATTAGTAATTTGGTAGTCAAATCAACGCCTATGCAAAAAGTGATGTAGTACTTTCCTCATGCGACAAATATTTTATGATTTTTTAAAGCATCTCAAATATTTCCCCAAAATCAAAAAGGTCACCTTCACCCCCCTTAGGAAAGGGAGGTGATGTCCCCCCTGCATATGTCCCCTCTCCAGCAACCCTGTCAAAGACCCACTCAAAGTGCATAAATTATTATAATATGATGCTTACTCATTTATTGAAAACAGAGATGCTGAAGGTCCAGTATTTTTTGACTTCTTGTTGTTCAGGAATGGAGGGCTAAGAAAGAAGGACAACAGCTTAAGATTCATAAGACTTTCTTCGCAAACAAAGTGACTGAACATGCTACATATTAAAATGATTATGCTTACATAAATGTTGAGGATGCAGTGCTATTTGTCTTCTTGGTGTTTGCTTGATATGCAGGGCTTAAAAAGAAGTATAACATTTTTGTTTTAAATGCTAAGATCGTTCTCTTCAACATGTTAAATGAAAAATTTCTAAACAAGACAACAGAACACCAAAATTTCTAAAGAAATATTTATGCTTACGCAAGCAGTGCACAGACGTCTTCTTTAGACGATGAAGATGGAGTGTTATTCAACTTTTTGCTGTTTGAGAATGTAGGGCTTAAAAAGAAAGATAATTTGAATACCACTTCGGATGACAATAATATGTTTTGGTTTTTGAAAACAGCACAGTCATATATTTATTACAAAGCTTTCAATCCATATATAAGTCTGGATCTTTATCAGCGCCAACAAGCTTACAGATCAAAAGTTTGGCAGTAATAAAATACCAATACATGGTGTTTCAACAAAACATTAAACCATACAACACGAATACCTTATTTTAAAAATTGTAATACTTTTGTCACAACAAAATAAATAAAAATTTTCAAACAAATA